ATATTTAATATATATAAAATTTGTCAAATAATGTATATTTACATAATAATAATAAAATAAAACATTTATTAAAAATATTGACTACAATACACTTTCAAATATTTTGATTCTATATTACAATATGTAACATACTTACGTTCCAGATTTTTTTCCATATTGTATAGCTTTATCTATTAAATGAGCATATTTTTTCTGATTAGCTGCAGCAAGAATCAAGGAAGGATTGGTTGTTGCATCTATTGGCTTAAATTGTTCCATAGCTAAAAAATAATTTAAAAATTAATTGATTATATAATAAATTAAATTATGGATAATAAGTTGACACAATCATAAAATGATATATTTATTCCATTTTATAGCTAGATAAATTTTATTCTAACACACGCATACATATATGTATATATGTATGTGTATTCCAAGGGTCATGCCTGGCATCTATAGATTAAAGCATTAATAGTACACATAATACTTGCATAGTTCATAAATTACATTATATGACGTGCAAAAATTTTAATTACACAAGATATTATTTAGGAACTATTAAACAGAATTATTTATAGAAGAAGAAAATGAAGTTACAAAAAAATAAAAAATAATTAAATTTTTATGAAACATATACATTATAAATATTTCATCATTAGTATAATGTAACAATAATTTACAATACAATTACAATTTGAAGGTTTCAAAACTGGAGACGATGAAAAACAATAATTTAATTTATTTCTTATTTCTTATTAATTAATTTCCTGTAAGTAAAAATAACATTATTATGAAAGTATTAAAAAAAGTGCTATCGTAGAATCGGACGATTTTGTAATTTCCCCTTCCCTGGTACATAACGTGATCCGAACTTCCAATTACTACTCGTTTTTCAATAGAATACTTTATATTTTTATATATATATATACATTTATAACATAAATATATAATAAAATAAATAAATGAAAAAATACATTTTCTTCAAATTTTCAGTATTTAAACGGTAAACTAAAAGTGCGTGATTGATGCTTCCCCTGCCACATTTTTTAATAGTCACCTTCACCTTTGACCATACATGTATTAGGTACAAAATCGGTTGTTTAAAATTTTTGTTTAGTTACCTTGAAAGTCACCGGTATCGGCGACAATTGTTGTGATTTCCTTTAACTGCGTCAATGAGTTCGTCATCTTGGCTTTCTTCGATTGAGACTCACTCATTCTTACCAATACTTTTATATACCGACTGGAGATCGAAGTTTTTGCTTACACTGGAATGATGAGTCCACGATACTGCACACGATTGCCAACTTGTATGGAACTACTACTTAATTTTTTCCGACATTACTTATATTACGTAATTTATATATCGACCTTTTCTAAAACTGAAGTCGATATTATTTAAATATTTTAATTATTTTAAATATTGTATTCTTTCGTAATTTTAATTATATGATAATATTTATGCAAATATATAAATATCTAGCGATAAGCTTTTATATTTGCGTATTGGAATACTTGAAATTTTTGATTGTTAAATGTAATATTATTATACAGGATATGTATACAAGAATATGTATGTAAAATTCCTCTTCAACTATTATTAAATCTCATTACAAAATTGTTTGTATAAATCATGTCATACATTTTTAATAACAAATAATTATATTTCAATAACTTACACAAACGTTATAAAATTCATTTATTAAAACTTAAGTATAATGTAAATTATGAATTAAACTTTAATACATATGTATACTTATTTCTATAATTAAAAATTGTAACATTGTATAAAAATAAATTAAATGAAATTTTGTCTTTCTTTAAATGTACTTTAACTGTCTATATATAATCCTTTGTGAATCTCAATATTTAGGATATATTTCAGATATATTTTACATATCAATGTGTGTAATCTGCTAATTTGATATAAAAATGTGCTCACTTAGTTTTAGTCAATTTTGACACAAAATATAATTTATTTAATTATATTCTTAATATTTCTATATAACCTATTAGTATCAGGCTATACTTCATGATTAATATTAAAAAATCAATTTAAAACTTTTGTATAAGAAATACAATAAAATATTGATAAAGTGAGTGATATAATACAAGTGCTAATATTGTAATTATATATAGTTTCAACTATATAGATCATTATTTTATATGAAAAAGACATATTAAATTATACTGAATGAATAATAAAATTGGTTAACAAAATTGATGAATTAGGCAATATTATGTTTATCTTACTAGCAAGTTTAATTTATGTTGTATTATATTGAAGTATATTATATTGAATGTTTATCAATAAATATGGATTTTGGTTCATAACTGTATAAAAAAATTGAACATATGACTAAAACTGCACCTAAAGAAAACTGTAAATTCAAATTGAAGTCAAAAAGATATATAGAAGCTACGCAAGAAATTATAATGGCCAAAGACGTAGCAAAACCTTTAAGTATATTATCTGCATATTTAACTACCATTGCAACAATAAGACCACCACCTGCTTGAAGTACTACTAAGTAACAAATGAATAAATCATAACCGAAGAAGAAACCCTGTTCCTGCAATATTTTGCCATCATTTATGAAACATGTAATTAATCCAAAAGGTAATGATAATAAACTTAATTGTACATTCCTCATCCATACTGATATATTTGAATCTTTTAATATTTTTTCAAAATATATTCCAGCAAAACCTGATAGAAAACATGCACTTAAAGCAGCTGAGAATCCAAATAAATGATTCTGTTCTATGCCAGATGGCAAAGGAATATTTGAATTTCGTGCTAATTGTACCAATACTACTCCTATAACTAATAATATCAGAGCTCCCCACTGAGTAGTTCTTAAAGATCTTCGTAATATTACTACAGCAAAAAATGCTGTTGTTAAAATTTTTAGTTGGTATGTTACCTAAGAAATAATATAAATAAAAGCATTATGAACAATATTAAGAAGTGAAAAGTACCAAAAATATAGAAAATACTGTATTTACCTGATGAGTTGCAGCATCTAAATTAGATGCTGATACATAGAGAAGGTTATTTTGTACAATATATAAAAGTGATGGCACAGATACTTTTAAAGTATCAATAGGTTGCTTTATAACTGTTAATTTTAGGGAATCAACAAATTTTGAGAAGTTTTTTTCTTCAACAAAAACTAATATTAGGCATATTAAAAGTTTAACAACTTCTGCCATAACAACAGCTAAAAGTATACTTCACTATTAGACATTAATAATTCATATGAGTGTCATGAAAATATTAAATAGATCAAAACATTTAATTTATAAAAATATAGTGTACCAGTTGATGAAAGAAACATATCTCCTGATCTTGTACGTGCATAACGCATACTAAGTCCAACAAGAGCATTTTGTAATGTAAGTGTAATTAAACTAACATACTTTAATGTTTGACCACTTCCTGCAAAATGAATTAAAAAAATAAAATATAAAATAGAAATTAGAAAATTATCATAAATTACATAAAATTATATACTTACGTTGCTTCACTATAAGACATGGTTTCATTATAGTACATGGTTTCATTATAAGATGATTTTTATAAATAATTTTTTCAATATAAAAGCCAGTGGATCATTTTACCTGAAAAATAATGTATTTTATTAATGTCACAAGCATAATGTTATGATTACTCTTGTATATTTTAAAAAGAATTATTAGAAAATTACTAAATACATATATAATGTAAATTAATTCTGTAAATGTTTAATAAATAAATTAATATGATCAAATTTATCAAATTTTATGTCTGAATTTTTAATTTATTTTTAAGTAAATACGAGTATATAAAAATTGTAATAAATACATTCATTATATG